CACAGCTGTAGGGAAGCACCACTTCCCACAGAGCAAACCACGACGGCAGGAAGGTGGGCAGTGGGACGCTCGCAGGCTCCCCAGAGCCCACCCAGGGAAACAGACACATCTCCAGGGACTCCCAGGAAGGGCAGGAAGTACCACCTACAACACAGCAGCACCTCACCCTCACAGGTGAGGGTCCATCTACCTGCCAGGGAAGAGGCCAGACACCACCTGCCACAATAGGCTGTGTAGATGAGTCACCAATGGGCAAGACCAATCTATGGCTGTCACGGGCTCCACAACAGCCCTTAAAGATGTGAGGGTCTTGTCCCTGGGACGGATAAATTGCAACTTCTAAGGAAAAAAGTCATTTCACGTGTGACCAGGCCCTTGAGAAGGAGACATTATCCCAGGTCATCTGGAGACCTGGACATCACAACTGTCCTCCCAAGAGAAGCACAGAGAACCGAGGTAGAGGGGGAGGCAAGGCAGAGATGAAGCGGGGAGTCCTTCAGGAGCCCCCTGAAGACTGTCCTTCAGGTCCTTCCTGCACCAATGTGGCCACAGCTGAGGGAGGCCAGCGACCACCAGAAGCCGGAGGAGCCAGATGGATCCTCGCCAAGCTGGGCAGGAGGCACAGCCCTGCGACACCTTGACTCCATCCCAGTGACCCAGCTTCTGCCCCCAAGACTGAGACAGCAGCTCCACCAGGTCTGTGGCAATTTGTCACAGCACCACCAGAAGCTGACAAAATGTGGACAGATGCCAATCCAGCAACCGCTGAGGGGAGTGGGAGGGGACGTCAGGAAACAACGGAATGGTCAGGCCTGCAGGGCGCACACCCACCCAAACTCGCCAAGGCCACCCAGCTCCACGCTCTGGGACGGCCATGTCACTGTAAGAGCAAAAGCTCATCCCCTGAGCCCTCGAGGCTCCTGAGGCCAGACCCCGCCTTGACTTGCCGAGTTCGAGAGCAGCAGATTCCCGCCTGCTGCCTAGGCAGGACCAAGCCGGCTGCCCATTGCTAGTGACCCTAACAGTCAGCTCACTCGCCTGCTGCATCTGCACTCACACTCCCAGGACACTCCGCCTGACCGTCCTCTCCTGACTCTCTGAGGAGCAGCCTGGCTGGAGCGGGCAGAGCCGGCAGGGGCCAGGGGACGGCACCAGGTGGCTCCTGAGACCACTAGGGCCTGGATCACCACAGGCCAGAGACCTTCAGCTCCCAAGGTGAAAACCAGCCCAGCCTCCGAGGGCGAGGGCCGTCCCCCACTGCACACCTCGCCTCCAGAGGAAGTCAAGAGCCCACACCAGAAAGCAGCATGGCAGGGCTCACCGAGTGCAGCAGGCCACCACGCTCTGCTCTCAGAGAAGAAGCAGAGACAGGGAGCAGTTGGTGGCCAGGGAGCTCGGCCACACCCGTGACAGAGGCAGGTGCCAGCCTGGCATCACAGGGAGGGCCAGAGGCAGAGCCCCAGGGCCCCAGGGACCCCAGACTCAAACTGAACCCAAGAGGGAACAGCGACAAAAAAATAAAACCTTCCAAATGGCCCGAACACCACGCTTCAACATTGCATCATGCTGTAACACGACAAAAACGTGTTTAAAAGATAAGTCACTGTCGTCCTCAAAACCGTCAGAGAAGCCTGAGAAGATTCGGCACAGGTTCTCCGTGGCAATACCAGGTCCAGCTGCTCCCACTCGGCAGCCCAGAGGCCCCAGCGGCCCTGCGGGGTCTGGAAGCCAAGCCTCAAGCTCAGTGACTGAGATACAACCACCACTTCCCAGAGACACTGCCCCTACATAAGGTCAGGCATCACCTCCCCTGAGGGGTCACCCCCACATAAGGCTCACCTCCACACAGGGATCCCCTCCACATGGGGATCACCTATACATTAAAATCACCCCCACATAAGGACCACCTGTACATAGGGATCCCCTCCACACAGGAATCACCTGTACATAAGGATCACCCAAGGATCACCTCCCAATAGGGATCACCTCTACAGAAGGATCCCCTCCACAGAAGGCATCCCCCATGCTGAGCACCACCCCTGCATAAGGCATCGTTGCGTGGTGACCTCACCGGGACATGCACTACAGGGATGGGGTAGGATGATTTTTGAAGGTCTCAAGAAATCCTATAACAGGTGTATTTTTCAGTTTGAAGAAATTCAGATTCAATGATTTCAGAATGAGCCCTTCACACCTGAGCCCTAACACGGAGTGCCCAAGGGCCACGCTGGCGCTGCCCGGGCACCCCCAGGCACCTGCATGTGGTGAGCCCCAAACTCAAGAGCCAATCCGTTCTGCTCAAAGAGCATGAACCAACACATAGGTAGACTAGCGAGATCTTCACGGCCTAGTGATGGGGCAGGGCTGCTGCCTGGGGAGCAGTGGTCCTAGGACAAAGGTACAGCCCTCCACAACCATGCTGGAAGGAGGTGGCACTGCGGCCAGTCGCACACTCTGGAGTCCACCTTGCAGGGCTGGGCCTCCACCCGAGGAGGCACACGGGTTCCAGCCACCCTGGCAAGGATGTGGCTGCATGGGGGGCTGCTTCTCCAACCATCCACAGCTGACCCAAGACAAACCACAATGAAGAGGCCCCTGCTGCTGTGGCTAAACACAGGCCGCAACCGCCGGGCAGCTAGTGCGACGCCGGGTGCTGGAGCTAGTCTGTGGTCGTCATGGTCTTGCTGTCCTGGGGACGGAGCCGGGGCCCGGTGCAGCTAGTTTCTTTTTAGTGATAACAAAATATTCAGGGCCCAAACAAGTCACTCAGATTCAGGTGACTGGGCATGAACTGGACTCAATTTCCACCCACTGTTCTCCTGGCCAGAAGGCCACCTGCCCAGATGTACCATTTAAAGATGAGGCATCCATGAAGGGCCTTGGGGTTTGTGGCTGCAGCACCTGGTAAACTGAAGCATCGCAGGAGTCTGCGCACTTGTTCTCCAAGGTTAGAAAGAGGAAAGGCAACTGGTGAGGAGGCAGCACTGTCCCTGGGAAGGGTCGGCCTGTGCAGACAGATGCTGCTCAGGACCAGTCCAGAGGAAAGCATGCGGCCCCTCCGCTCCCAGGGAAGTAGAGGACCTGGAAACGTCCACCTAGGATGGCTGGACATCTGATGGCACTGAGAAACTCACTTCCCTTTGAGTGTGGCCACTTGCACCTCACTGCAGAGACCCACCCCCTTTGGAGACACCCAGTGGGCCATCTACGGATGAGATGCCATAGGGCTACAGCAAGCTGGAGAAAGGGCCGAGACGAGACTGGCCACCATCGGCGGACAAACCCCAGCCCAGTGACGGGACCTGGCGTCATCTAATGCTTCTCTCTACCTGTTTAACATTTCCCATAATAAAAAACCCTTATAAAAACATATTGGCAAAATCTTCACCAATGAAATGACACTGTGCCCAGATCTGCCTCAGAGTGACTCAGCCTGGGAGGCCCAGCAAGGACCTGATCATGACCACCATCCATTTACCACCCACCCTGCTTTTGCTGGTGCTTGAATTGTCCATTTTATAGACTTAAAAAAGCAAAGAAAAGGGGCCTGGGGTATAGGTCAGTGGTAGAGCACTTGCCTAGCATATATGAGGGTTCAACCCCAGCACTGCTGAGAGAGAGACACAGAGAGAGAGAGAGAGAGAGAGAGAGAGAGAGAGAGAAGAAAAGGAAGAAGGAAACATGGGAATCTGCAGCCTGGATGCATAAATATTTGAAAAGGCCTCATCCCAGCTGGAGGCAGCGCTCCCTAAAGAACTCAGAGAAGCAGGAGTGGACTGCAGCAGGACGTGCCCGCCCCCCCCAGGGCCATGGCCAAACCTGCAGAGCAAGCCACCTGGCTAGCAGCCAATCGTGTTCCCACCCTCACACAGACGGATGCTGAAAAGAAGGGATGAGCTACGACCACCCCGAGAGCCCTGCGGGCAGCAGCAGAGCTGGCGCCACGTGCCACTGGTTGAGCACTAGACCAGGCGTTGCACGAGACGCCTCAGTTCAGCATACAGACTGCCCCGGGGAGAGTGCAGAGCAACAGGGAGCCCCACCAGGGTGACAGGCCCACATTGCTATCCTGCTGGCCCGCACCACTCCCCCCCTGGGCAGCAGCACCCAAGTCACCCACAGAGCCCAGGGTGCACCCTACGACCCGGTCTTCCAGCTGGCTTTTCAGCCCTGAAGCCCCAGCCCTCGAGGAGCCAGGCCCACCGGAGAGGCCCACCCATGCCAGGGTATCTGCACACGGCTGAAATGTAGCTGAGATTGCTGATAATTAATAAAACAGAACTGGGAACGACAGGTTCATCAAAGCAGCTGGGACCTCAGATTGGCTCCAATGCCTGGCGGGCTGGAATTTCCCCCTGATGGGGCCCTGAATCACAGGCTGGGGTGGGGGACGTGCAGGTCAGCGCACTGCTAGAGGAGGTCGGCAACAAAAGAACGCTGTGCACCACCGCCGGACCACGAGGCCCAGCCAGCACTATCGCCAGGCCTCTTCAAGGAAAGCTGGACAGCGACATGTGAAAGCCACGGTGGGCGGGCCCAGTGACTTGCTAAAATGGCTTTCTCAAACAGAAAACTAAATCTACACCAGCGCTGAAGAGATGTCTGTGCACACAGTTCCTCACCTGCACCTGTGAACTCCGACTCCTGGTTGTGATGCAGATACACTCAAGTTTGACTGTAAGAACTTTATCACCTGCGCAGATTCAAGCTGTACTATGCTTAAGATCCTATGAAAAGTACACCAAATGGCCTCGTCTTTCAAAATGATCGTCACTTCTGTGATTGTGATCAATGCTATCTCGACACATGAAGCATACTGAACTGGGCACCACTGTCCCCAACAGAACCTGCTCCTGCCAGGGACAGGTGGCTGGCACAGGAAGAGGCTCTCGAGACATGAGCCACACTTGCTGCCCTACTGCTGCTCACAACCAGCTCTGAGGGGGAAACACTGTGTCCTCGTCACCCAATGAGGCCTGAGCACAGAGGGCGATGCTCACGTTGCCGTCCGCCACCACGGGGCTGCTGAACACATACTCCAGCTGGAAGACCACGGCGAAGGCCGGGTGCTGCACCATCTCAGGCAGTCGCAGGCGGCTTCTCAAAACCAGGGCCTGGTTTCCAGAGCTGGAGCAAAAACAAAACACAGGGACACGTTAGAGTGTCTCTCACGCCCCACCTGTGCCTATCCCTACCCAGGGACCAGGGGCGCAGGAGCACGGCCGACACGGCCTGGGCACCTGTGCAGAGCTGTCCTGCATGTGCTTGGCCCTGGGCAGTCCCCAGCCAGTGCTTCCTTCTCCCAAGTGCCACAAGCAGCACCTTTCCAGACTGCCAGCGCACCCTGCAGCCAAGTCCCCAGAAGCACCACGTGGAGGAGGGTCCCATTCTCTGAGACTGACTGCTGTGGAGGACAGCAGCCCCTGCTGCATCAAGAGATCCCTGTGGTGACAGAGGGACAGGGGATTGGGAAGCAACTGCTGCATCATTTGGGAAACTAATCCCAGACACATCTGGATTCAGCATGCCAAGGGCTCCCCGGACCCTCAGCTGCCACAGCAGGAAGTGTCCAAAATGCAAACTCTAAAGTGTCAGAACACAAGAACGGGCTTTTTACAAGTGCACTAATTTGCTCATGGGGCATAACTGAGCAAGTGGAAGAAAGGTGACAGGGAAAAGCCCCAGTGGTGACTCCACACCAGCCTGCACCACAGCTTGCGTCCCCACGCACCTTGGGCCCCAGGGAGAATACCTGGTCCTGGAGGAGGAGCTCACTCTCCTGCTGAAGCTGGCCGAACGCGTCATGGCCACATCCATCTCGGGCACCAGCACAACCACCTGCGGCCTCCGCACAAAGCCCAGGCCGTTGTGCACACCCACATGCAGGCGCCGCTCCAGGACCTCTAGGGCCCCACCATCCAGCAGGCCACCCCCCTGCAAGAGGCACAGGGACATGGAATGAGTCCCACACAGCCAGAAAGAGGGGTGGCCAGAGGAGCCCCGGCAGGCAGGCAAGCAGATGAGTCCAAGCAAAGGTCAGGTACTTAACCGCACCGTGCCTGCTGGCCACAGCACCTCCTAGGGGAGTCCTTGCGACACCACCGTCCTTTCCAAGCAGCACGCCCTGCGGTGCCTGGTGGCCAGGCTACTCTAGCTCTCCAGAGCTCAGCTTTCCCAGATGAGCAGCCTCCTCCCCATGGACCTCGGCTCCCTCCACAGAGAGGGCCCAGAGGTCTGGAAGCTCACTCTCCTGAGACAAGGGGACACATGATAGAGAGGTGCCCACACGCAGAGCACACCCAGTTTCAACTCTGTGCCCCCAGAGACTTGAGGCTCTGGGAAGAAAGGGCAGGACGAGGATGACGTACACTCAGGCAGGAAGTCACGAACCAACAGCAACGGGGTCGGCCTCAACGTGACCACCAGATATTAAAGTGCTTCATCTTAACAGAAAATGAACAGGCGCTCTGACCAGTGAACAGGGGTATTCGTCCAGGCCACTTGCACTTATTAAATCATGCAATCTTTGCAAAGCGACTGAATTTTCCAGTACCCATTAATCAAGTGAATGGACCTAAATTCAGCCTATTAGTCTTTGGATAATGGAAATTAAACCTCAGAGACAACTGAGTATCTGCCAGTTGGATAGGAACAAAAACACAAACATAAGATAAACAAAATAGAAACACACAGTAAAGTTGTTTTTAGGAATAGGTAATATTCAACCATGGCACTCTTAAAACATCTCTGCCTTCACACGACCCACTCTGAAAAATAAGAAAACAACGGATCTCCCTAGAAAATGGTTGCTGCACAGCCTGCTTCTGCTCCACACCTGCACGTGTGACCATGTTAGGCAGAACTAGTTTCTAAGAAGAGAAGAAGCGAAAAAGCCAGCTTGCTCACGGGGAACCAGTCACTTGCTCACTTCGTAGGCCACGAGAGTGGGAGCCGAGTGAGAGGACCACCTGCTCCCACAAGTGGAGACTCCAGCCCTGCCACAAGTGCCCTGGCAGGGCATGGTGCACCCACAGCTCATCCTCCCTAGAGCAGAGGGAGGGCAACCGTGGGCAGAGAAGAAAACCAGGCGCTCCCCGAGGCACGGTGCACTGGAGAGGTGCGGCTCAGCTGAGGGGAAGGAGACCCATACAGGTTTGCACAGGGGCCAAAGAAGGCCTATAGGAAGAATGCCAGGAAATGAGCCTCATGTCCAAAGGCCCAGTGGCCAGCACGCGTCCACAGGTGAGTCCAGGGAGCAGCTCAGGTCAGGAAGCCGGCAGAGAAAGCCCATACCCTGCGCAGGTCCGGCATACAAGGCCAGGTGCCCAGCGTCAGCCTGAGGGCAGTGAGGAGCCGAAGCCAGCAGGAGGTCTGAGCAGGAGGAAAGGCACTAGCTGCCTGTGTTTCTAAAGACCACTGTGGCTCTGGGCAGAGGCTGTGGCCTCAGAGACACTGCAGCCAGCCTCCAGCTGACCTGCCAGCTACCTGCACACAACCAAGGATGAGTTGCCTCCCGCTCAAAATTCCACCAAGAGCCAGGATCCATGCACAAGAACACGCACAGCAGGGTCCTAACGGCCCCGCCTGGAAGCAGCCGAGAAGGCCACCCTGTTGATGGACAGACACGTGGCAGGGCACTCACAGGAACACCACACAGCAAAGACAGTGCGCAGGCTGCTCCGACAAACAGCCCTGCACAGTGTCCAGCAAAGACAGCACAAAGAAAAGGCGGCTTCGTGGAAAATAAAGGTGAAACGAGGCAAACCCACACTCGTCCAGACAACCCAGGACAAGAAGCAAACACCGGGCAGCAGGAAGACCTGGGAGCGGGAGGCTGGACCAGGAGCCCAGGCTCCTTTCTCCTCTCTTCCATTTGCCAAGCCCCTCGCCCTCTGTGGCCTGACTGACGCAAGGAGATGCCCCTCGGTCTCCTGGCATCTGTGGCAAAGCTTTTTGTGGAAAAGCCATGAGTGAGCACCCTCGGTGTCCCAGGAGGCCAAGATGCAGCTCCCTCTTCCAGTTCTGCTGCCCCTCCTCCCGTCCTTTAGAGGGCCACCCCTCCTCCCTGCTGGTGGCTTCAGCTCCAGAGCAGTCAGCACCAGGCGCAGGCAGCACGGAAGCCATGTGCAGCCCACCTCCTGTTCCTGGGCCGTCCAGAGGAAAACAGAGGCCAGGCCGGGCATCCGGGACAAAGAAAGAAATGAGGAGTCCCCCAAACCTGCAGAGGCTCTGAGGATCTTCGGGTGCACAAATGAGCTGCATGAGAATACCCAGGGAAGCTGGTGGGGGGGGGGGGGCAGAGCTTGAGCTGTCCTCGCACTCAGGTCTTGCCGCCTGCAAGTTGTCATCACTGGACGGGAAGAGGGGCCCTCAGTGTGGGGGTCCTGCTGCAGGGCAGCCTGAGCAGCACACAGGAGCTGACGTGCACGCTGGGGCACGTGTGCTATGTCTCACTATGGCCACATGCACGTCCCTGCCTGATGGGTGGGCAGACCCCCCAACCAGGAGCATGAAGCACCCTGCCAGGGCATGCAGTGACAGAGGGGGACAGGAGTGCTCCCATGGGCTCCCAGGTTAAGGCTTCTAGGAATGTGTCCATGTGGATGGCAGAGTGCCAAGGGTCAGACAAGGGTGAGACGTTCTCAGCTGCCTTTAGGGGTGAGCAACAACTCTCCAGTCACCTCCTGAAATGAGCCACAGTGCCTGGTCACCCATGTCCACTTGGGGTCATGATCTGCTTTAAGTGAGGAGTGTTTTGTCATCTACTGAGATGAGAGTCAGTGTCTCCAGCCAACAGCACCTTTGTCACCTTCCAGGATGGGGGGCTGGAGGATCTCTGGGGTCTGAGGAGGAAATGGGTCCCAGGAAACCTGTTTTACACCAACTCAGAGACAGAAACAGTGTCCCTCTTCAGCCACAAAGTTGGGAGAGACAGGACCACATCCCCTGGGCACACCGTCCACCCCAGCAGCACCAGACTCTGGCAGCTGGCCCAGCCCTCAGGATGCCCTCCTCGCAGCAGGTGAGACGTACCTCCTGGACGTGATCGCAGGTGAGGAGCTGCGCCAGCTCCTCCTCGAACCTCCCGAGGGAAGGGCACAGGGTGAGGAACAGGTCGTCCAAGTGCCACGTGACGGGCTTCTGGAGCCGAGGCTTCCGGAGGGCGTCGCCTGCGGTGAGAGGCTCGTGTGAGATGGCACGGGATAGCAGGCAGAGGAACCCCACGCCTCAGACCACAGGCAGTGGGACCTCGAGGCCAGGAGGAGGCAGGGGAGTCACCTGGACACAGCACGCCGGGCCACCCACTGAGCTAAGGTGCACAAACTGCACTTGCCACTCAGATTCCAGCAAACCTCCTCCAGGGGCAAACTGCAAGTGGGCCACTCAAAGAACACAGGGCAGACAGCAAAGCACGTCCACTGCCCTTCAGCTGGGTTCCCTCAGCGCCACCTCCTCAGCCACACCAATGCCACTGCATTTACCCGAACCAGCTGGAAATGGGACCATGTGCTGACATCTTGCAGCAAGCAGACACACAGACGGGGCTGGCACCACAAGAACCAAGCCCTGGTTCTGACCCAGAAGCCTCGCCTTCTCCCTGAGGTCACCCCCAGTGCAGAGCGGGCACACAGCACAGCTGAGGTGGGAGCTGGATCTGCTCCACGCTGCAGGACCAGGAGAAGCAGCCGCTTCCCAACCCACATAGGGATCTGTGTTTCCTCTCCCGGCCACTGCAATCTTCCCCTACCTCCAACTCTTCCTCTGTTTTTGTGGTTATTTGCATACTAGGTCTTAGGTTTCTAAAAGATAATTCCAAAGTTAAGTAAACACTTGGTGCTAAGGAAAACACGGTCAGAGGGAGGGCAGGAGAGCAGGGAAGAAGGTTCATCTTTGCCTTTGTGTCCACAAGAACCCAGGGACAGATGGCGGAGAGGGCTGCACAACAATGTGAATGTGCTCAACGGCCCTCCACTGCCCACTGAGGGATGGGGAAGATGGCCTGAAGTCCACCATCTGCGCGGTGGCTGAGCAAGCATCCTAGACAACCTGAGCTGGGGACACCCTGCACCCAGCTAGACAGGAAGCAGTGGGGGCAGGGAGCGAGGTAGCAGGGAGGTGGGAGGCCCCCGCAGCACCCAAGGCTCCTGTGCTACTTCTGGGAAGACAATGGCAAGGCCAGCAGGGGCCTGGAAAGGTGACCAGCGCCCAGGCCACTCCAGGTGAGCAGAGAGCATCCCAGCAAAGTAAGCCAGAGGAGAGGAGGAGAGGAGGGGGAGAGGAGGCCGAGGAGGCGAGCGGGCCCAGGAGAAGAGCAAGATGAGAACACACAGGCCGCTGTGCCCCGGTGGCTTCTGCAGATGCCCCCCACTAGGCAGACGGAAACTGTATCCTCCACCTAATGCACACGTTCGCCTCGATGGTGGGCGGGGGTGCTCGTGGGTGCCCTCTCAGCCCGCCCACCCGAGGGCCTGCACCACACTGGCCAGCAGCACGGCTGCTTCACTCACGAGGGCATGACAGCGGCCACCCAGAACCTTCTGCTCTAGACCAGCAAGGCCACTGGCCACACAGCAGGCTGGACCTGGGGCAAGGGGCCCTGTCAGCAGACGTGAGGGCTCCAGGTGGATGTCACTGACGGGATGCCACTGAAGGGAGGTGGTCACGCCCATGTGCACCTGCAAGTCCTGCACCTCCTCCCGTGCTGAGGCCCCCGCTCTCAGCCTTCACTGGTGGCACCATCCACAGCGCCCCACCCAGGGACTTCTATCAGCCACCACAGAAAGCCGAGACTCCCAGGACACCCCTGCCCCACCCTCAACTCCCGCAGGCCCCAGGGCACTGTCTGTTGGACTACCCCCAGCACACTCCAACTTGACATCCCTGTCACTGGGCAGCAAAGGCATGGCCACCCCACAAGGTGGCAAGGACACGCAGACTCCACCCTCTGGCAAGGACAGTGACGACATGCCCAGCTCACACAGTGCTGACCTCGACTCTACTGACTTCTTAACTTCTACAGAAACAGAAGGGGAAACCCAGTGTCCTCCTCGCCCACACGAGGTGTGGCATGCTGGTGCAGAACCCCAGGCCACAGGCATCTGAATGTTCAAAATGCAGATGTGACAGTGAAAGATGACCAGCTGCAGTGCACACAAGGGGATCCCAGGGTCATGGACCGAGCCTCCTCGGGGGCACGGGGAGATGAGAAGCTAAGCACGGGCAGGGTTGCAGGAGAACAAAACAGGGACAGAGAAAAGGGGGCACCAAAGGCCACGACCCAGTTGCTGGCAGCACTGGTGACAGAACAGAGGACACACCAGCTATAGCAAGAGAGCTGAGTAGCCTGGAGCCAGGAGGGAGTCACATGGAGGGGCTGCAGCCACAGCAGGGCCAGCCACCGCCCCTGCACCTCCTGCCCTGCACACAGCGGCCAGCCGGTCACAACTACGGGGTGTCGCACAGCAGGACCTGTCCGCAGGAAGAAGTCAGGTCCGCCAAGAGTCGCCAAGGCACCGCCTCCTCAGGAGAGCTGAGGAGCTTCTCTGGAGGCAGGCGGGCCTGGGAGCCAGGCCTGGTGTGGACCCAGCTCTGCTCATGGCCCTGGACCAGGCACTGCCACTCTCAGTTTCCACAGCTGAGCAAGGGGGGAGACCATGCCCCCCCAGCCTGTGGGTCTCACTACCTGCAAAGTCGCTCTAGAGTCACCGTAAACCCTGACGAGGACGCAGGCCTCGCTTGGCTCCCAGGAGAGATGTGCGGCACACATAGGCCACGAGAGCACAGTCCTAAATCCTCGGAACAGCCTGGCTGTGCATTCCACACTATACTTAGCAAAAGAACACCTGGGGCTCAGGGGCCACCCTACTAACAGCCACCATCCCCATCTGGTCACCCTCTCTGCTGAGTGTCCCCTTGTTCCACACCAGCCAGGACGTGTGCCGCAGACTCGTTAGCTTCCCATGGCTCCGCAAACTCCCACCAGTGGCGGGAAGAGCTGAGTCTTGATTTGGGGATGGAAACCAGTTGTGGTGAGCAGGTGAGTCCATGAGCACAGGATCCACCGTGAGGACCGAGAAGCCACGGAGAATGGAAGTTGGACGCGGAGCTGGCGAGCGCCTGGTAACACTGGCCTGTACATCCAAGAGGGGGCGGGGCCCACACACAGCTGCGTCCAGCCAGGCGGGCACACATCTCCACTGCCGAGGTCCATCCTGACAACAGACCGGTGGTGTCTGAAGCTGGACCAGGCTCACCTATCACCAGTGCCTGCTGCTGGGTTTTTTCCCCCAAGAAATCTCAACAACTAAGGACAAGGACCTCCTTTCAGGAAGAGCCACCCTGGTGCCCAGTGCCTATTCCACAGGGCAACAATGCAGCAGAAGGAGTGGAGCCACTGGGCAGCTGGCCAGTGGCAGAGCCCAGTGATCCCAGAGCAGCCCAGGCCTGGGCAGAAAGCAGACTTCCGTGGCCATCCCCAGGGGCCATGACCACGACTGCAACCCAGGACTGCAGAGCGGCAAGGAAGCCCCACGGAGGAAGAGGAGCTCCCTCCGGGACACCAGAGGAGCCCCGCCTTCTAGGTCTGGAGGAGCTGGGAGGCCAGGGCAGGGCTGGGCATCCTATGAGTGTCGCAGACTCTGGGGCAAAGTGCCCAGCTCCCAAGCCTGGCTCCATCGCCCAGGTGCCCTGGGCCTCAGGAAGCGAGACTGAGGAAGAGCAGCGGGGTCAGAGCAGAGCCTTCTCTCCACGTACGTGAAGGACTGGGAAAGATCAGCGCTTCCAGGACGCGCTCCGAGGGAGGGAAGCGTGGGCTTCAGCTGAACTTGAGACAGCAGGTCCCGAGGCAGGAGCAGCAGCTCACGTGCTGGCACTTTGCTAGTCCATCTCACTTTCTCCCCCAAACAGTCCTGTCCCCATTTTACAGAGGGAAAACAGAAAACAAGGCCTGGGGAGGGCAGGCGGGGCCGCAGGGATCTGAGGTCTCCAGCAACAGAGGCTCGCTCCACCCCCGAAACCATCAGGCCCCAACGAACACCAAGTCCCAGCCACACAGTGACCGGACGGACCGCCACTGCGGTCACCAGACCCAGCCCCCACAACTCCACCCACCTCCTGGAAGTGGCCAGGCGCTTGCTGTCCTCAGGCACTTTGGGGATCACAGGCCCCTCCCTGCAAAGGGGCGCACTCTTTCCTCCAGAGCTAAGGGCACCGTGAAAACTGGACCACCCCTCCCTGAGCACCCCACATGGCCTTGGGTTCTAGTTCTGGAAAGCCCACCTGGACTTCCGTGAGCGGGCGTCCTCACTCAGGGAGCCCGAGCCACCCTGGCTTAACCTTACCAGCATCCCGGCTGTGACACCGCCACACACACGGGACCTCTCCGCGTTGGGAATCACGACCTTGTGTGGCCTGACAATGACACAACAGAAACTTCACCTCTGTCCTCCCACTGCTGCATGTCACAGATGAACCTAAAATCCACCCCTGCAAGTGAGCAACGAAGACCGCCACTAAGAAAGCCCGGTCAGACGGCCCTCCCCGATGCAGACCATCATCTGGCGGAAACCCTTTCCACGGGACAGTCACGAGGGCGCAGAAGCTGCTGGGCAGAACTCGGAGCAGAGCCGACACCTGGGTGAGCACTCTCGGCACTTTCGACCTGGCACCCTGCATACCAGCCGAGGCTGCGCACCCTGGCTTCTCTTCCAAAACTGTCACTGGGGAGCCAGCAAGAGCCACATCCCATGGCTCGGCTCGGGAGCACCTGCATGGAGTCAGCACTCTCTACCCACCCACCCCAGGGCTGCACTGGCTCCTCTTTCAGGGTCCCTGGCTCCTTAGACTCAATAATGACACATGAAGTGCCCTTCATTTCTGCAGCTCCTCAGGCACCACCCGCAGGTGACCAGTGCCTCAGCGCCAGACTGGCTACTCCACACAGGAGAGCGAAGCCAGGCCGGGCTGAACACCCGTGCTTCAGGACAGCCCTGAGGGGACTTCTCAGCTACCTCCTGCTTCTCCATCCAGAAGCCCGATTTTGGCCACCAGCTCCCTTTGTACCCCAGCTCCCCACAAGATACTGAGAACAAAACAGGTGTTTCCGGGCTCCTAAGTTTCTGTCACCACCCCACCCACAAGAAGCAGCAACTCCACGGGGACCTGCAGATGCTTCCTGTCCTAGCTTAATCCCACAGACACCTGTGCACAGTCACAGAGGGATGGATACACCACCGGCCCCCAGAGCACAGGTCAAGACGCCCGCCACAGTGACCCTAAAATCCACATGCAACAAGGTCCTCAGCATTGGCACAAGCAGGACAACACACCACAGCGGAGCTCAGGGTCCCCTGGCCAGGGCCCAGGACATGCCCAGGGCAGCGAGACGGGGCCACAGCCCAGCAGGCAGGGCCAGGCACTGGTTTTCACCCTTCACTCAAAGCAGGGGCAACGAGGCCCACTTGTCTGGCCTCCCATTTGGGGAGGTCACAGGTAGGACTCACACCAGGGGCTGAGGAGGACACTGTAAGCTCAGGGCTGGGAGGCAGAGTGGGCAGCTCGGGGTTAGGGGCTCGAACTTCAGCTGGAGGAGATGAGAACATTCTGGAATGGCGAAGGCAGCAGCTGCACAGTGGTGTGAAGGTGCTCACCCCTGACAGTCCCCCGAAAGACAGCTCAGGTGGCAAGCTGCACGTCATATATATTTCACCACAACTGAGAAGTTATAATGACAATGAGTTCCTAAAACTAGGGCACAGCAAGGGTGGGACACAGCGATAGTGTCTTTGCTGGCCACCATCATGGGGAGATGGACGATGTGTTTTATGAGAGTATTTACCAGAAAAGAAGGCAAAGGTGACACAAGGATGGCAGCTCACTCCCCAGAAGGGACAGGGACGGATGGCCTTGCTGCCTGCTCCCCAGGCTGGGTGCTGAATTAGAGTGGGACTGTGGCCACTCACCCACCTGGAGGAGGCTGGGTCCTCTGAGGTCCAACCTTGAACCACAGACCCACAGAGAGAGAACCAAAGGAGCCTCACCAGTTTCGCTGTGAGCGGGGAGGAGGCCAGGGATCCGCTGCAGCCCCGACACCAGCAGGTTCTGGGGCACCAGGTGGAAAGCAGGCTCCAGCGGCGGGTGGAGCCGCAGGGTGTACAGCAGGCTGCAGCTCTCGATGAGGGTCATGTGCTTGTTTTCTGGGGAAGAGAAAACATGGGGCTGAAGCCAGGGCACTTGTGTCAATCAGCAAGAAACAGACTCGGGGTCACCACCACTCAGGGAGATCGTCTTGTCTAAGGAGACAGGAGTCCTTCTGCCCCGTTAGCCTAGAGATGGAAAGCACAAGGGCCATTTGTTTGGCTTTTGTTTGTATGTGTGTTTGGGATTTTGTGCATTTTGTCTGTTTCTGCAGTGATGAGAAAGCTCCTCATCCTCCTTCCTGGCTGCGAGGCATTTCCTTAAATTAGTGTTCTGTGATTGAATCTGCTCATGTGTGGACACTTGGGCAGCTCTGTTTGCTGGCTGAGCCTTGCCACAGGGGTAGCTGGGCTGAGGGAGAGGAAGGCTGGACTGAGGCTGATCCAGCCCAGGGCCTCCAGCGTGCTAGGCAAGCACTCAGCCTCAGTCCAGCCTTCCTCTCCCTCAGCCCAGCTACCCCTGTGGCAAGGCTCAGCCAGCAAACAGAGCTGCCCAAGTGTCCACACACGAGCAGATTCAATCACAGAACACTAATTTAAGGAAATGCCTCGCAGCCAGGAAGGAGGATGAGGAGCTTTCTAGGTACTGATACGAAAATCCTCCAAATGAATGTTAAGAAAAAAGCAAGGCTTAGAAAAAACATTTGCTCAGTGTCATAAAAAGAGCCACCAGGATCCCGACCAGCTCCAAGAGGGAGGCTAGCAGCAGCAGGGGGGGCAGCTGGCGGAGGAGAGTTCACTCTCAATCTCCATACTTTTTCAGACCTTTGGAACTCTGAACCATGTGAACCACCAGTGAAATGCCAACGCAGTGGCTGGACGGGCTGCTGGCTGGAGGCTGGTCCTCTGCACCCACTCCCACTCAGAACACAGCTTGCACATAGAATTGTGGGGGTAGAACCCTGGCAGCCCTGGATACTTCAGGAGGGAAAAATCTTAGCAAAAAATAATTAAAGTCAATGAAAAAATAACCTAAAAGCAATCTTTATAAACAAAATTAACTTTCCAACTGATTGCTTCCCACCTCAAGATTTTCACCAAATTTGGGGGCAGGGGGTGCCACTGAACATTCTAGCACAGGCCACAGTGTGCACACACAACTGCTTTCAGGGCGTCGGGGCCACATCTCTAATGGACAAGAGGCATGCTCCCCAGCAGACCCACCTCCTGCCACTCTCCCCTCTACCCTCCCTGGGGCCTGGCTCAGCATCTGCTCTGGGCCTCCGGGATGTCCTTCCAAACAGCCCCCACTACAGGCGCCTCCCTGCTCATCCTCCAGGTAGGCAGCATCACAGGGGGCCACACCTCCCAACAGAAGCCCAGTAGGAAACTCCCCTGCTGTGGGGCAGCAGTCTGCAGACATCCCCATCAGGTGGGCACAGCTGGGAAGGCCTCACTGTTAGTGATAACCAATGACTTCAGTCAGAGATCTTGCTGCTCAGCTGCTTCATCTGGTAGGCAAGGTGTCATCAGAGGCCAGGAGGCCTCCCCCTTTCATGTGGCTGACAAAGGCCACACCCCCAGCTTGCCTGGCAAAGCAGGGTGGGTGCATTTCAGTTTTTTAAATTATGCAAAAAGCCAAGTCCATGACACATTTGCCAGAAACTATTAGATAACTGTGCTAAGCCGAGGGCAGCTGACATTCAGGCACATGGCGGCACACGCTGAGGCAGGAACATGCTCAGGAAAGTTGCAGTCTCTGCCCGTGTGGCCAAGGACAGGCTGGTTCTTACGCTCCACAGGGTCTTGCAGAAACGGGTGCAGAAGGGCTCTGGGGGTGCCATGGTACAGCCTCAACCTGGAAAACAGGACCAGGGAACCTCGTCAACCATCCAGCTTGCACCAGGCACCAAAGGCCAGATCTGCTTCTCCCACACCTCTAGAGCCTTCTAATGCTGCCAGCCCCGACCTCTGCAGGGAACAGACAGCTGAGGACAATGTCGGTGGCCTTGCCCAGAGCTCCACGACATGCAGAGCATATCGGGCACACCTCGGCCCAAGGCCTAAGGAGCAAAAATGTCCAAGGGAAAATCACCAAACTCCAGCGTCCCAAGAAAGACAAGGTTTAAGGGACTGCTGTGGCCTATTGCCAGAGCAGTCTCCTCCATGATGACTTCACCCCAGGAACATTTGGCAGTGTCTGGGGAGGCTTTGAGCTATCCTAACTGGGTGCTGGCATCTAGCAGAGGGAGGCCAAGGATGCTGCCAAGCATCCAGAATTCACCGGTGGCTCCCTAACCCTAACCCTAGCCCCTAGCCCTCACCACCCACCACAGAACAGAGGAGGACCTGCCTGGATGTCAGGTGGTCTACACACACGGGAACTCTGACCCTGCTGAGACGCTATGTGTGACCTTGTGCTATGTGTGACCTTGTCCGTGTCTGCACACCCAGCTCCTAAACACGGCCTGCAGGCAGAGGCGTTTCTGCTGCGGACCACAGACCACTTCCTGGGGCCTGGGTGTGAAATGCACATGTTTCATGCTCAAGAAGCAAGAGACACACTATCCTCTCTCAGCCACAGAGGAGTGGACTTGGGACCTGAGAGTGTGAATAATATTCCTGGACCCCACAGGGGACAAACAACAGGGCAGGGCTGGCCCAAATGCATGCTACATCAGATCCAACACTCACAGTCAAAGCACAACTCCTCAGCTTGCTTAGAAATAACAAAACAAAACAAAAAAAAGTTATAGTAAAATAAGCAAAAACCTCTTACAGTACACTATTATGAACACATAACAAACTTAAAGCTCTCTGACCACCAAGAGCAAGCTGTTAAGCCACAGTGAATGAGGCTGGGGACCACAGAAGTAGAAAAACAAAGCAGATACCGTTTGTCCTGGGAAGCAGAGGTCGGAGAGTCAGGTTTATTGCTGAAGATCCGAAGAATTCCAAACCCACAGGACAGTGACTGGAGGGTCCCATCCTGCTTCCTGCCTTCAGTGACCACTTCCACTACGGCCACGATATTTGGGTGGTTTAAGGACGTATGGAAGTAGAAAGGCTGCAAAACAGATCAGAGGCCGCTAGGCAGAGGCAGTGGTGGGCTATGTCCCCAGCCTGCGGGGGGAGGGGGGGGGAAGGGGGGGGCAGCCGGGGAGCAGGTGCCAGACGCACTTCAGGAGCACACCACAAGCACCAGGGACTGTGCATGAGCCCTCATGTGCAGCGCCACCCCTGATGGGGAAAGAACAGCGCAGGAGGCCACCCCCCAGAGTCTAGCCGGTGTCAGGGCTTCTCCCGCCAGGGGCTGACACCCAGGCTCCAGACACTTTGCCTCTGCTCAGGACCTTTCAACCCTGGGAATTCCACCTTGCAGATGCCAGCAGGCCTCGGGCCTCCTGGGGAAGAAAGGCTGGCCAGCTGTGCACCTGCGGCAGGGGTGGTGACTCCAGGCAGGACCGGTTGCCTCAGCCCAGGACAGAACAAGCCCTCTACAGATGTACAGGTCTGCTGACCCTCCCCTGCCCCAAGCCCAGCCGACTCTCAGTACAGAACTCTCATCCCGACTGCCACTCTCCCCTCCACACTCCCTGGGGCCAAGCTCAGCCTGTCTCAGGAGGTTCGTGACAGTCCACCTGAACTCACTGTGTGCACACCAGAAGGAGCCCTGGATTTCTCTAGGTGCTAAGTCTCCCCAGCTCAGAGCCTGACCAAGTCTTCTATGATGACCTAGAGATCTTGCTAAAAGATGTGGGGGCCTAGGCCAAGTAGAGGCCATTCAAACTGAACTCAGCAGATGTTCCCTTTGTAACCTCTTCATCCCCAACATGCAAGTGGGGGCCTCTGACTCCTGTGTCCCCAGGGCCTGAAGGGACCTGGAGAGAAGCGAGAGGTGAGGCAAATCATCTCCCTGTTCGACACACTCTGTCTTCCTGCGTCAGTCAATGAAGTGAAGTTACCTGCAGTTAAAACTGACGGAGGCACAGGCTCAGAAGGTGGAGCAGAGATGCTGGTTGCGTCTGCCAACCCACGGCGTCCGGTATCTGTGTGCACAGCACTCACAGGTAGCACTGAGCTGGCTTCCAGACTGAGCGGGTGTAAGGCTGGGTGAGAGCCACCCCCCAGAGGCAGGGCAGAGGCTGGCCTGCACCCGACTCCCCTATTAACGGGTCATTACCATGGTGTCACCGAGAGAACGTTTACTGTAATCACTGACTGTCAGCCCAGGATAACAGAGAGACACATTCAGACATCCGCCATGAGATATAAATCGCCATTCCATTATCTTTTATTGCAAAAACGATGAAATGATGACCACTCACAGCTGACAGGTGGTTGGACTGGGAGAGTCATGTTTCTGCTTCAAAGACTCAGCAAGGTTTAAGAAGCCCCACCACCGCACAGCCAAGTCTGCACTATCTCACCTGTATATTTACACCTGTGCACTTCGGTTTTATGAACACTGCACAGCTTCTGTTTTGGCAGTAAAACAAACATTTTAAACTCCAAATATGAAGCAACAATCATCTCCTAGCTTAGAGGTCACCTTGCAATTAAGTGCTCCACCTGAAGCAGTGGAGGGCTCAGATAGTGGCTGCTCGCTCACCTCCAGCAACCATCACTGGGAGGCTGAAACAGCCTGGAGGACAGGCTCTCAGCCCAGTGGCCAGCCTGGAACCTAAGAGCACATCTTTCTTGAGAAGAGGCAGCCATCCCTGGCAGCCAGCAGGCTGAAAGGCAGGTCAAGTTCAGACAGTCCTGTCAGTTCCACTGCTGACTGACAAGGACACACTCTTCCAAAAATCATTTACTGACCATCAGTGTAGGAACGGCTCCACGCTAAAGAACTCATGAGGAACTTGGAAAACACAACCCAGCCTTAGCCAAGTTCAAGGTTCGCTGGCTTTATAAATGACGGACTGCACAGCTACCGACTGCAAACACTGCTCAGGACTCTGCAGTTCTGAGACTCAGGCAGGAGCCTCCCAAGAGGGAAACCTCTGCACAGCTTGAACCACCACCCCACGCCATCATCCCCACGTAGTCACGAAGTCACGCTGACTGCTTCACCTGCACCTTAGAGCCCTGCCTTCCTGGGAAACAGGCTCAGCCAGAATCCCAACAGCACCCCACTGAGACACACCTGGGCCCGTTAGTCTAGGGGAATTTAATTAACACCAACGCCACACGTTTTGAGAGAACAGTTCTATGCATCCACTGAAACTGCATGATTAAGCGTTCAAGTCAAGCCCATCCAATTACCCGCGGGAGAAGGCCACTCAAGACAGGAGAGACGGCTCCGGTTCACCCTGTATCACCTCCCACTCATCTGCACTGACAAGCTTCCTCCCTGACAGGATAAACAGATTCATAAATCATTTAAATGCTCCTGTCCTAATGCCTACATCTTCAAAAACACGGACACCACTCGCCTCAGGCCAGTTCTCCATCTCTCACCCACGACAAGACTGAAACTGGGCTCTGCCGATGTGTCTTTAGGAGGAAGCTGCACCAGGCAAGCGACCAGCCCCTGCTGCCATGTGCCCTGAAGGCCAGGGAAGAACTGGGCAGAAATCAAACCAGCACCTTCCCAAGAACTCACTTAAAGAGGCACCAGGAGCAGAGCACCTTCGGGAGGACCAACTCCCCACCAACACCTCCCGGCTCCCACCTGCAGCTCGGCCTCACACCGGGGCTGTCTGCCTGTCCCAGAGCCCACAGCTGACCGCCCAGCGCCGCCGACACAGCTGAACAGCTCTCCTCCAGGACGCACAACCTCAAGTTCAAAAGCCAGAAGCTTCCACAGCAAAGGGTCCCAATGATGGCTCCGGCCCTCACCACCCACTACAGAACAGAGGACCCACCTGGATGGTGCCACGGTGAGAAACCCTGGTCTACACACACGGGAACTCTGACCCTGCTGAGAGCTACGTGGGACCTCGTCCGCATCTGCACACCGGCTCCTGAACACGGCCTGCAGGCAGAGTGGTCCACCAACCTCTGCTGCGGACCACGGACCACTTCCTGGGGCCTGGGTGTGAAATGCACATGCTTCATGCTCAAGCAGCCCCTGCAAGACACACACTGTCCTCTCTCAACCACAGAGGAGTGGACTCGGGACCTGGGAGTGTGAATAACGTGCCTGGACCCCACAGGAGACAAGCAATAGGGCAGGGCTGGCCCACGTGCACGAGCCAATGCTCAGCAAAGCACAACTCCTCTGCTCACTTAGAAAAGCAGGGGAGGCCACACAAATCAAGGAGGCTCCCAGAGCCTGTATCACGAGCACACAGGACAAAACCCACCACTGACAGTGCTCCATGTCCCCAAACAAGTGGCAGTGCCATCACCATCCAGCCAGACCCAGCGCTGGAACACCTCTGGAAATCACCTGTGCGGGCCCCCTGGAGGTCAGAGGCCCCGGGAGAGTTCCCACTGAGCCAGAGAGGAGGGTGGCCCTCGCGGAGGGGAGCGCTGCCGGCCAGCGGGCAAGCCAGGGAGGCTCCTACAGGGACACGGCTTCCTCAGAAGCAAAGCCACAGCTGCTGTGCTATGACCACTCACGTGAGGATGTGGCCTCCCCCACCGGCTGCAGGAAGAAAGCCTGAGAGGCAGCGCCTCCCGTCAGGCTGGGGAAGGGCTGGGTTACCCTCGGGCTCCCTGACAGCACCCACTTCTAAAGGCACCTACATGGCCTCACTACCTGACCAGCAGGGGCAGCCCAGTCCTGCCGTCCCCTCACTGTCATGGGTGGGGCAGACAACCCATCCCCTGAGGGACCAACAGCCGACCCCTGAAGGGGTCCTGGACCAGTGCACACTGGACTGAGAAGCCCCAGAGTCCCCACCCTGTGACACTCCTCAAACCAACAGGGGAAAATCGGCCTGCCACAGGAGGCGGGACCGCGGTCAGCTGCAGCATGAACTGGGGGAGAGTTCTGTCATCTCCAAAAGCAGACGTGGAAAACGCAGGCCCCCGGCCAGGGTGGACTGGAAGGCACTTCTTCAGAGGCTAAAGGAGTTACTCATCGTCTCAGAGGAAGCAGCTCTTCCCCGCCGGGGAAGGTCGGAGGAGAGCAGAGCTCCAGCTGGAGCTGACAGGGCTGGGCTGCTCGCCTGGGTCCCACCAGCAGGGCCTGGGAAGAGAACCGGGGTACAGAGCAAAGAGTCCTCCTTACAGAAAAAACACTCCCCCAGGCTCAAGGCCAGAGTTCTTTGTTCAAAGTCTTTTTGAGGGGACAGTGTTGTCACGAGAGCCTCTTCTCTCAGGGCTGCATGCACAGTGATGGCTCAGTGAGCCCAGAGCAGGCCAGGTGGGTCCATCCACCCACACGTAAGCTGGACAACCAGGGTGGCCCCAAACGCGACACCCTCCTGCTGGCAGCTCACTAGCTTCACACCAGGTCACCTGGGCCACTGCAGATGGAGGAACCAGGAAGACCTGGTCAAACCTCAGAACCACCTTTCTCGAAGCCAACAGGACTTCCGCAGCTGCACCCCGCAGGCAGGCAGCGGGGGCAGGTGGCCAGCACGCGGCTGCAGAGCGCCCAGGCCGAGGCCACAGCACACACTCAGGCGGTGGAGGGCAGTCCTCCTAGTTACCTAAACTGAGCAGGCCTGCTCTCTGCGCCCTGCATGAAAAGGAAGTCAGAGGAACACAGGCAAAACACCCTGCCAAGCGGCTGTTAGGCGGGATGCTTCCTGGGCCACCACTGGCCTCTGCTGCCCACAGTGGGCACAGCAGCTGGGGATGAGTCAGGGGCGCCAGCACCCGCTCCTGCCTAAGCACACCCCACCCGCCCTGCTGACCTGCGGCCTTCTCCACTCAGGGACACCTCGTCACTGTGGCTCCCTGCGCGTCCCCGCCTCCGCCCTGTCCCTGACAGTGCTCCCCACTGGTGACCCTGACCCAACAAGCAGGCTCCTCAGACTCCCCACTTCAGGTGTGAAGCAGCAGCCTGGAGGGACAGGGCTCGGTCACATGCTGCTTTCTGAGTAAAACCCCAGTGAAGGACCTGCAAGAAGGACTGCAGGACCCTGCCAAGGAGGTCACCTAACCAGGGCCACCCCTGCCACACTGGCCTGGCCTGCTGGCCCAGGGCCTGTCTGTCTCGCCCTGCAGGCCCCAGCCGCAGCAGCTCTCCCCCAGTGAGACCCATGGTGGCTTCAATCGCTGTGCTTCCTGCCCTGGGGGTGGCCCCGACAGACTGCATGATGGGCGGCCGGGACAGACTGCACGACAGACTGCATGACCCCTCACCCAGCACCTGGAGAGCCACGACCATAGCCTGGGCAGACAGCCAGCCTCAGAGCCAGTTGGGGACCAGGGGTCTCAACGAGTGTCCATTCCAGCACACAGTCTGGAGCCAGGAGCACAGGTCTGGGCCACACTCTGCCACCCTTGACCAGGCACGTCACTTCACTAAGTCTCAGTTTCACCACCTTAAAGGACAGCAGGAGGCAGCAGTGGCAGATGAGACCACCCATTTCCTTACTTTGTTCCAAGAACCCTGAGACTCCTCACAGGTGATGGGACCCCCGGTCCCTCCTGCAAGCTGCTTCCACACCAGAGAGCTTGGAGACAAAGTGCCGCACCACGCGCTTCCCACCCCTGAACCCGCTGCCCCACGCCCTTCCTTCAGGTGGGCCTGACATGCACTGGTCCCTTCTGGGCTGGCCCCATTCAGACGCCCTCAGAGCAGCCCCGCCCACTGTCCCAGGCACACCTCGTCGAAGACGATCCTGGATGGCTGCCTCGACAGCTGCTGGACCGGCCTCGCTGAGGTTCTCCATGTCTTCCCAAAGAAGTAGCGGTAGGCGATGTCAAAGAGAGACACGCGCAGGTGGCATTCAGTCTCGGACAGCACCTCCAGCACAGCCTAGGAGACAGCGGGGAGGAGCCTGAGGAGCCCTGCGAGCCGCGAGCCACCCCACGCCCAAGGCGGCCACTCTGGATGGCACTGAGCACTCAGCCTCTACCCCACCTGCTGAGCCACAAGCAGCCCGATTTCCTTTCAGGAGCCGCCTCTCTCCCACGGCCACTGGTCTTGGTAGGACTGCAAATCCAGCGCTCAGCCCTCTCCCCAGCCAATTAGGGCACTCACTCAAGTTCCTGGAACAGACGCTGACTTAAGGTGCACCCAGAGCCAAGAGGACATGAGCCAGGGCTGCAGACACAGACATGTCTGCCAGGATGCAGGCATGGAGCTGCTGGCAGCCACTCTGCCACAAGGGGGAGCCAAGAGATAAGAGAGAACAAGTCCAGAGAACAAGTCCAGATGAGAACCTAGATCAAACCACACCTGAAGCTTATATAACTGGATTTGTCTGTGATGAGAGGTAGTAAATCACCTCTGTCTAACTTAAGCTTAACATTTCAGATTGATTTGGTTACTTATTTGCAGTCCTCACAGGGCCAGAAGCTCTAAATTCTCAACTTGCCAGAATTATTCTAGGGTAGTATTAGTGGAAAAAAACAAAAACAAACAGATCTTCAATGAGTAAGAAATCATAGCTAAATTGCTTGGGGGGAGCTTGATTCTTTTTCTCTTATGAAAGATTAACTTAAAAGTATCTTTGGCTTTGTATGACTCATTTTCACTCATTGATAACAATTTGAAATAAAACCAAGGAGATGAAATCTTTAGATTTTGTGACAGTGTGACTCTACAGTCTCAAGATGACCTAGAAAATTGATGAGGTGAAGATGAGACTATGGAGACTGTTCATATTATGATTCAAAACCACTTTCCACTGTGGCATATAGGCCGCTCAGAGTGACGGCTCTTTTGGTAGGACTTGTTGTGTCTTGTGAGCAGATCATGTGTCCAGTGCTGGAAGGCAACGGTCACTGCCGTATCACCAGTGGATATTTTGACTCTGGTTCCCTCAGCATTACAGCCCAACCTGTAATCAATAATGAATATTTCTTGATATTTACTGCACAGGACATTTATTTATACTCAATAAATAGTCTTCACAAGAAATCATAGCTACAAAGACAGAACAAAGCAACCAGGAGACCAGCACTTGCACAGCTCGGCTCAGCCTCAGCGCCCCTGCTCCTGGGAGGCCAGCACGAGGCTCCGCTCCTGCCCGGGACGGTCTCTCTTTCCCTTCACTCACGGCCATTCATCAGACATCTATTCTGTGCCAAGAACAGGAACACGAGGGACAACCAGGCAGGCAAAGCTGCTGTCCTCACAGGTCCACTGGAGAAAAGACTTCTCTGGCCAGTCAGGAGAACGCCCCTGAGCCAAGCCTGGGGCACCTGGGGAGGACGGACCAGGTCGAGGGACAGCGACACCAGTGCCCTTCAGGGAGAACTGGGGCCTCTCTTGGGCTCTGTGAACCCTAGTTTCCTAGCTTCTACATTCTGCCCTGGCTTCTGCGGCCTCCCTCCCAGGGCGATCCCAGAGCTGGCAAACAGGCTGCCCGTGAAAACATCTCTGAAGGCAAGCCACCATGCAGTCCTGCCTGCCCCTCAGCCCGCCCGGCTCTCACACCCCAGGAGACTGCGCCTCTGCCCTCCTGGTCCCAGGACCAGGGACCAGGCAGCTGGGGCAGCCCCTGTTCTAAGGCCACTGAATCATTCCAGCTGGCCAGTCCTAGGCCTGCCTACTCTGCCTCACACACGCCTTCCTGCAGGAACCCCAGGACCGGCTCCCCCTAAGCTGACCAGAACCCCTCACCTCCTGATGGACCCTGTGCACACGGTCATCTTCCTGCCCTCGGGGAACCCTCACAAGCCCTCTTTCTTTGACTGTTGTCTCCTGATCCCAGGCCTCACCAAGCCTGAGAAGAAACAAAAGCCCAGGGACATTCTCCAATGGTGCCTGCAGACTGCAGCAGATGGAGAGGGGAGGAGGCGGGCAGCTGGGAGGCCACAGGAGTGGGCCTCATGGAGCCCACTCAGAAACTGGCCTTGCCTCCCACAGAGGCCAGAAGACACAGAAAGACCCCAAGCAGAAACGGCCCGTTCTGATCCAGGATCTAGGAAAACGGCGGCTGCTGCCGTGGGGAGAGGTGGAGGCCACAGCCCGCTGCGGACAGGAGGCAGCAGGAAGGACACTGGCTAGCAGCAAGTGGCCCTCAGGCTGTGTCCTGAAGGAGCAGGAGCAGGCTGGACGCAGAACAGGAGCGGGGAGACAGAGGGAGAGGGCGGCCAGCTGCCTCAGATGGCCCTGCATTCCCGGGTCCAGTTTGGAGTCCCATGTCCCTAGTGAAGGACGATAGCACACCTTCTGTCTGGGACAACTGGAAGGAGGTGGCATCGATTCCAGGGATGGCAAAGACAGGGTGAAGTCTGTGGAAGATGCCGGCTCAATGCTGTCCTCCCGCTGTGCAGGGCCACTGTTCCACAGAGGCCTCAACTGCTACCCCTGCACCGCCCTCCTCCCCTCCACACCCAGCCTCCCCTGACCAGGCCACCCAGCCCCTCCAGGCCCTGCCCTGCCTTTCCCCAGGGGCTGTCCAGCTCTCACAGGCTGACTGACCACCATCCCCAGGTGGACAGCAGGCTGTGAGGAGGCAGAAGGCTGGCTCAGGGCCCAGGCCAGGCCACAGGAGCAGGGCTGAGCCCCTGCGCCTCCCAGTGGGAGTCTCCAGTCTCTCCTGCTCCCTCACCCTCCTGCCGCCTTCTGGGAAGGCCACTGCTGCCATTGCTGGCTTTGACTTCAGGACCTGAGCATCATCTCTATGTCCCCGCACCGTTCCAAACAGGTGTCCAGTAAACGCCAACTGAACCGAAAGCCATTCCAATAATGAGATGACGTCATGGAGTGGGAGAGTGAGAAAAAGACACTAGGACCATCAACAAAGTGCCTGAGCTCGAGGCCAACCCAGCTCCATCCCTAGGCAGGGCTGCTGCCACCCAAAGCCACCAGACTCCGAAGAACTGCAACTGTACACCTGGTGAGGCCCTCTAAGCCACATCTGCCCCCAGTCCTGTCTCCTGTCACTGCTGCTGGATTCTTAATGTAGAACTGGCTTTGCGTTCCTGCAGGGACTCCACGGGACATGATGTCCGTCCGTCTGTCTGTCTCACACACGGGGTCTGACACCCCTACACAGGACCATGATGTCCGTCCGTCTGTCTCTCTCACATACCGGGTCTGACACCCCTACACAGGACCATGATGTCCGTCCGTCTGTCTCTCTCACACACCGGGTCTGACACCCCTACACAGGACCATGATGTCCGTCCGTCTGTCTCTCTCACACACGAGGTCGGACACCCCAACACAGGACCATGGTGTCCGTCCGTCTGTCTCTCACACGGGGTTGGATACCCCAACACAGGACCATGATGTCCATTCGTCTGTCTCTCTCACACACAGGGTCTGACACCCCTATACAGGACCATGATGTCCATCCGTCTGTCTGTCTCACACACGGGGTCTGACACCCCTACACAGGACCATGATGTCTGTCTGTCTGTCTCTCTCTCACACGGGGTCGGACACCCCAACACAGGCGGTTTGTGCTACTATTCTTGAGCACACTGGTCTGTATTTTCCCGGGAGTTTCTTGGCTGATCTGGGCATCACTGGCCGTGCCCTTAGAAAGGCGGTGGGAAGCAGCCCTTGATCCCCTTTTCCCTCGGAGAACCTGTCTGCAATCACCATCCCTCCTCCCCCTGCCTAACAGACTCTGAGGTGACACGTGATGGCCGCTCCCTCACTCCTAGCGCTAGGAATCTGTGTTTTCTTTTGTCACCCCTTTTGAGCAGTCTTTCTACAGAGTCATCAATTTTACAAACCATCTCAAAGGACCAACTTCTTCCTCTTCTGCTCATTTTGTCTATTCTTGGTCCCTGAATTGATTTCTGCTCAAATATTTACTATTGCCTTATTTCTACTTACGTTACCTTTGATTTGATCTTTTCATCTAGGTTCTTAAAAAGGAAACCATGATCTCATACCTTTCTTTTCTAAGACAGCCGTACAGAGCTATGAATTTCCCTCAAACGACTGATATAAGCAACACCTCACAAATTGTTACATACTCTCCGATTATTCAGTTCAAATAATTTTCTAATAGCCCTATAATTCCATTTTTGTTTATGTACTCATTTGTTTATCTTTGTAATGTCCTGCACTCGTCCAGGGTGACTGCGCACACAGCCTTTAGCCTCCAGTGCGACGCATGCATGACCTTTGCTCTTCCGGAGCGACTGTGCACCTGACACACTGCCCCTTTACTTCTACCCACGCCAGCATGTGGGAGCCATGTTGCAGGTGCCACGCAGGAGAGCTGTCCCAGCCAGCCCAGCAGCATGCATTGAAAGGCCAGCCTGCCGTGCTGAGCTTGGCTGGGCCCGGGGAGGTGAAACGGAGAGCTCCCACCAGCTGCCTGATGAGTTGGCCACGGCGCCTCCAAGGTGAAACCCTGGTTTACGCTGAACACCCGCTTCCTGCCCCGGACCGGCATTATGGTCCGTGCCAGGCAACATTCCCGTCTGTGGCCACATCTCACTGCACCCTGCTGAAGTCACCGGGGCACCTTTGTAAGCCTGTGTCCTTCTGCCTGCCGTAGGTGTCCCTGTGTCCTCTACTGTAAGGAGACTTGGCTGTGCTCCTCTTAGAGGATCATCCCCCCACGGGTGTTCTGAAGGCCCCAACTGAGGTGCAGACACACTTAGGGCTGCTGCATCTTCTGGACATGATTATCTGATGAAATGCCCCTTTTTATGGGTTGGGTTGTGGCTCACTAGAAAAGCACTTGCCTGGTGGACATGAGGCCCTGG